GAAGAAAACGCTATCTTTTCAATATACTTTTGAATGAGAGTGATAAGTAATAATTGCCTTATCTAATTTCTTATCATGTTATTTATGCCAAGTTTGTAATGTATACACACTATCATCATATGTATACACAGTAATCATGAAAAGATAGCGTTTTCTTATGTCCTTTTCTCAATACGTATTTCAATGTTTATAACCGTAAAATAGTACATGAAAATTCAAATTTTTACAAACTTCAAAACGCTACAGAATATTTACTACTGAATATTAATAAGATATTTTTTTACTAAAATTTTTCTTAAATTCTACTCTACAAAATAGCTATCTTAGATTTTTTTTTTACATTTTATTTAAAATTTAAAAATAATTAATATTTTTAATAAAATGTAAAAATATTAATAATTGAGATATAGCTATAGACCTAACGTCTAACTAATATTTAAAAAAGAAATCAGCTGAAAATATTAACTGGATCAAAAGTTATTTAAGTTGTCAGTGAGTGGTGGGCCACTCTGTATAAGCATTACTTATAATGTTTTTTTATTATTATTATTTGAAACCAAAACACTGAAACTATTATATTATTATTCAATAAAGAAGAATTTTATTAATTTAATATAAACATTATGAATAAGAATGTTTAAGTATGTTTACATATAAGAATGTTTAGAAGTAAGAAAACGGGTGTCTAACAATTTATGTTTCCTTACTTACTGAAAACATACATGGTTTTCAGTAAGTAAAGTCTTGTAACAAACAAAGAACAATAAATAGTAATTCGAAAATATTTGTTTATCGTTATGAGATATAGTTATTATCTATATATTTTTCATATTAATATCTGACGCGGTAGAATAACATACACGTGTGGACAAAGTTTACAACACAATGTTTAAGTTGTAGTTAGCGTTGAGCCGTTTATTAAGGGGCGTCATTTGGAGGGGTCAGGATGTGCGGTTGTAGCACCCTTACTTTAAAAACAGTCCCAATTGACATGAAAAAATAATGCACCAATTTTTTATTATTATACATTCATTCAAATTTCAAAAACAATGTATTATCATGGTTACATTGGTCAATAAACAAATATTCTATAATCAATTAATTGAGTAAACAATAAATAATCTTACTAAGCATTGATATTGTTGTTCGTTTGTTTTAATCACGACTTTTTTGCAGCATAGTTAATGACAATATTTGATAACGGTAACGAACTGATAAATATAAAATTCAACCATTGCTATGTTATATTATATAATATTAAAATAGTAATTATTATTGTAGTTTATGTCCCTGTGTGGATAGGGTATAAAAATAATTTCTCTATCAAGCGTAAAAGGCAAAGAGGTAAAAAGTTTCAAGTATTTAGGATCAGTTTGCAAAAGAGCGGTGATATTGACAAGGATGTAAGACATAGGATTAAATGCCGGTGGTTAAAGTGGAGAGAAGCGTCTGGTGTGTTATGCAATAAAAATATTCCAATGAATGTCGAAGGAAGAAGAGGTAGAGAAAGACCAAAAAGTTTAGGATTAGGATGGTCGACCCCAAGTAGTTGTGATTAAGGCGAGGAAAAAGAAAAAGTATTATTATAGTTTATATTTATTATTGATGTTGATTGTGATTCATAATCTATGGAAAAATTAAAAGTAGAATAATTTACTTTTATCCCACGACGATAACGCACGTGTGTTGTGTAACGGCCTGGTTTACAGTGGACAGTTTGCTTAGAAGGAGCTGGCATGATCGCGGGGTGTTACACGGATGACGGGTGTGTCACGGCTTGGTCATATCATCTGTTTTAGTTGGTATACCAGTCTGATTTTTACAATGGTAACTTCTTTCTTCAAATTAAAAAAAAATTTAATAAAAAAATATTAATCAATATTTTACTAACATGGATCTTTTTATATAATTTCCCTAAATTTTACTAATTTTTTTTATTATAACTTTAAAACCCATATTGTTATAATTTTCACTTTGTTAGACAGCTTATATGAATACTTTTATCATTAAGTAAATTATTTAAAAATAATTATTACTAAATTAAACAATATATGTTTTGTTTGTATTATATACTGAAATAATTTGTTTTATTTTAGAAATAAAGCTTGCAATTTAATTGCTATCAAACATTCTTTGGAAGTAATTTCAATTACGATTTTGATATTATTTAAATCAGCAACTATTTTCGGACTTGAATGAAATTTATAAATATCCGTCTTGGTATTTTAATTTAATAAAAAAACTTTTTTAAATAGTATTAGTTAAAAATTATTTAATTGTTTACAAATCTTATACTTAAGTGTATTTTAATATTTAATGTTAATAATTATGAAAAAAAATTGAGTATTTCCATGTAAACTTCAATCATTATTCATATAACAATTGATCAATTTGTGACTAACATTATTTAAAATAAAAATATTAATTTAAAACTAAAAAATATAAATAACATTTAATACAAAAATTACTAAAAAAATCGCATATTTGTTTTACAGGAACATTGTTATTATTATTTAGGTGTTCAGTAAGTAAAGAGACGGGTTTCTAATGTTCTCATTGTTTATAACAATTGACTTGTTCCCTTACTTACTGAATACTCTGTAAAGTGGAGAAATACTGCGACAGAGTAACGATAAAAACATAAAACTTCCGAAGTAATGTGTCAAAACTTGTTTTCGACATGTTATTGTTTTAATTAAATCAATTATAAGCTACTTAAATATCTATATTTCCATTAAAATATGTAAAGTTGACACCTATATAAGGTATAAAAAAATGTTATAATTGATAAATTATTAGTACATTCTATTCTTAAATATGAATCTATTATTTGGAACCCAATACAGGTCATTCAAGTTGTAAGGTTTCAGCCCAACTAGAGTGCCTACTATTTACCCACTGTCCAGGGGAACACTGGACAGTGACCTAGTTGCCGAGCCAAGCGAGAATAGTTCTCGTCAACGGAGCTACTAGGTTTTAATTAAAAAAAAAAACCAATGTTAATAAAATGAGGGAAAAGTATGAAGAGACCGTAGATCTACTCGACGTTTTATTTTATGAAAAAAAAAAACGGAGTACAAAAAAAATTAGCACCAAAAAAAAACCTGTTCCTGGAGATATAATTATCCTTCCAAATTGGTATTAGCTTGTTGACTGCTTCCCTCCCAAGTGTAACGCAATGCCTAATCTCTTTAGATGATCAGCCATCTGCTTGTACAACTGAACCTAAATATTTAAACTTATCCACTTTTTGGAAGCCGTTTAGTATATTGGTGTATGGTAGTACTCCCGTCCGATCCACGACCATAACTCTTGTCTTGCTCTTGTTTATTGTTACTTACCTCTTCAACAAGATATAGCAAGTGACCCATCTCTGATTCGGAGCCGGCACATAACGTGGTGCCATCCGCAAACCACAAATTATTTTTTAAATGGTATGTTTATTTTAATGGATCCCACTATATGAATCGCTAACTGCAGAAACGGGTCAAGTCCACTTTTGCTAATTTTTCAGGAATGATGAAAAACTGAACAACTTATGAAATGTTAATGTAAAAACTTCGAAATTCTAGACTATAATTAAATCACTTAAGAGGACGCTACACAGAACATAAAACGTATACAACGCTCCAGAGATAGCGTTGTTTTCCGTATTGGCGAAGACCACGCCCTCCACCATTTCAAAATTATCGCTGCGTGCAATTGTCGTTTGACTTCAGTGCTACCATAGTAAAATGAATAAGAAGTATGCTCGATCACAGTCAGCATTTTCGTCGTAGTACGCGCAAGTGCATCGCCTTGTGTTTTTGTGCATTCGTATACGATCGTTGAAATACGACCGCATCCGAATGCACTTTAAAACCGGGCGATTTTTAAATTGATAATTCTGATATAATATATATGATAGACATAATTTTTAAGTCATAATTATATTAATTACTTTAAAACAACGCATTCAATAATATTTTATAATAAATTTAATCGTGGATACTTATTTTAGATTCTATGCATTTTTTTGTTGTAACTTTTGTATTTTAATGAAAAATTAGGATTTTGTACCTCGTTAATTAAACGTGAGCTATATTAACTAGTGTGCAGACTTATTTTTTTATGTTTTAACATTGAATTAACACCACATTAACTTAAGAAATTAATATTAAATATATTACATTAGGTTAAGATGGTACATTTTTAGAAAACATAGCGCATAGCATTTTTTTTTTCTAAAAAAATGAATGAGTATTAATTAATGTGAATTTTAAAAAACAATCAACATTATTTATAGAAATTATTTTACTTATTAAGTGAATGAGAGAGATAGCATAATATAATCTTGAAATATAGATTATGTTTATTTTATTTTTATAATATAAAAATTATATAATATAATATTTCAATATTTCTAGTACCTTTTCATTGTATATTTTTTTAGTGTGCTGCTAATAATAAATATAATCCATCAGATTTATTTGAGGACAGCCTAACATATTTAATGGGGATATGTAGCTTTTAAATTTGAATACAAATATCCGAATCTTGTAGATAATTTGAATGAACCTAATGATTGCATAGAGGTTAAATAATTTGGAACATTACGACAACCATCACCTACATTAATAAATTTAGGAAAAATCATAGGAACTATTTTTAAAAAATTAAATGAAAATGGTACTTATAGAAATACAGTTAATATAAAATATTTTTACATACCTATGATTAAATTTTTAATAGATGATATTAGAAAAACTCCAGGCTTAATAAAGGAGGTACTGGAATTAACTAAAAAAGCATGTAATTCAGATAATCTTTTGGTGGATGATGAAGTCAAAAACTTCATTATTAGAACAAAAATATATTTTAGAATACGGAATATAAATAAAAAAACTTGCATCACGAGAAATGAGCAATAAAAAAAAAATTCAAAAATTTATTAAATAATCATTAAAACTACATTTTTTATAAATAATGTAACAACTTATACTTACTGTAAGTAATTACACAATAAATTGATATTTAATTATTTATATGCAGTTAAACATAGTAAAATTTTACTATGCAGTTAAAGTTTTTCTCAGGTTAGATTTATCAACGAATTAAATCTTGGTTTATAAACTACTACAGTGTAGCAGATAATACAATAAAGATGTATTACAACACAGTTGAAGTTAATAATAATAATAAAAAAATTATAAATGAAATTGAAAACCGAAATTAACTAAAAAAAGTTCATTAAAATACTTGACTATAACGGGACAGTGCCCCTTAATATAGAATATATACAACGCAATGTATGTACATGTGACGTCACGTTGAGTTTATTGTTGGTTACATATTTTACCCCTAGGCTTATCATGCGCACTAATTTGATCGAGCATACTTCTTATTCATTTTACTATGAGTGCTACATTCTTTCACCGACTTCCGTGTTATAGCTGTCGTCTAGCAACATAAGTTTGCGCTTTATTATTAACGTAATACTCGCGCCTAACTAAAAACTATTGCACTCTCTGTGGTCTTAACTCTAAGGAATT